ACCTGGGTGTGGGTCTTCCTCTCCTTCTCTAACCCTTCACCTTTCCAAGCATAATGTCCCTCTCCAAGGAATAATATCTCCTAGCAACATGCCCACAGTATGTGAGATGAAGCTTCCTCATCTTTGCCTCCAAGGAGCGTTCTGGCTGCATCTTCTCCAAAACATATCTGTTTGTTCTTTTGGCAGCCCATGGGATGTTCAGTACTCCTTTCCAACACCACAGCTCAAAGGCATCAATTCTTCTTCTGTCACCCCTATTATTGTCCAGCTCTCAGATACATAGCAAGTGACTGAAAAACACCTGAATCAGATTCATCTTAGTCCTCATACTGACATCATTGCTCTTCAATAATTTGGAGAGGTCCCTGAGTACAGACTTTCACAACAAATGTAAACAAATTCAAACCTCAAATTGCAATATTTAGTGGTGCTATGTGAAAAATCTTGAATGATTCAGGAAACATAAAAAGAAGATGGAGGGAACACACGGAGTCACTGTACCAAAAAGAATTGGCCAACACTGAGATACCATGGGAAATATCATATGATCAAGAGCCAATGGTAATGAAGAAAGACGTTCAAGATGCACTGAAGGCATTGACAAAAAATAAGGCACCAGAAATCGATGGTCTACCAATTGACATGTTTCAAATATTAGATGCATCCCTGAACGTGCTCCCCAGTCTATGCCAGGAAATTTGGAGGTCAGCTGCCTGGATGACTGACTAGAATAGATCCATGTTTGTCCCCATTCCCGAGAAAGGTGATCCAACAGAACGTGGAAATTATCAAACAATATCATTAATATCATATGCAAGCAAAATAATGCTAAAGATCATTTAAAGGCAGCTGGAATAGTACATAGACAAGGAACTGCCAAACATCCAAGCTGGATTTAGAAGAGGCTGTGTTGTTGTTGTTGTCATTTGACTATGTGAATGAATCATAACAAATTGTGACTAACATTGAGAAGAATGGGAATTTCAGGCCCTTAATTGTGCTTTTATGAAACCTATACCTAGACCAAGAGGCTAGTGTCCCAACAGAGCAAGGGAACACAGTGCTATTAACACAGGTATACATATCTCAGTTCCTATTTCCTTGGGGTACATTCCTAGCAGTGGAATAGCTGGGCTATGTTCAGCTTTTTGAGAAAATGCCAAATTGCCTTCCAGAGTGGTTGTACCATTTTACAATTGCACCAGCATTGCACAAGGGTTCCAATCTCTCTGCATCCTCTCTAACGTTTATTGCTTGCCCTCCTGTTAAACTTTGCCACTGCTACTGGGGTGAAATGGTATCGCATTGTTATTTTGATTTGCATCTCTCTGATTGTCAGTGATTTTGAACATTTCTTCAAGTGTCTATTGGCCATTTGAATGTCTTCCTTTAAGAAGAATCTTTTCATTACTTTTGCCCATTTTGTTATTGGGTTATCAGTCTTCCTCTTGGGGCGGCCCCGTAGTATTCTGTAAACTTTAGTTATGAGACCCTTGTCTGAAGTGTTATTGCCAAATTTTTTCCCTCTAATCTGTAGGCTATCTTTTTATCCTATTGGGAAAAGTTTCTGGTGCACACAGGGATTTGATTTATAAAAGGTCCCATTCTTTGGTTTCCTCCTCTCCTGGTTGTACACCTCCAGCTTCTTTTGACGTTTCCTGGATCATTCACGATTGTCCACATAGTGTCTCTCAGTATAGCAACTCAGGGTTTGAATTTGTTTTTCAGTTCTTTCAGTTTGAGAAATGTTGAATGTGTTCTTCCCTTTTTATTCTCCCACTCCAGCTCTTTGCACTTTCTGTTATAATACTTTGTCTTCTGGAGCTACCCTTTGAAAACTTCTGCTCTTTTACTTCCATCTCTTTTACTTTGGCATATCTTTCCTTTTGACTTCTCAATGCTCTAGTGCAATTTTCAGAGTCTATTCTGACATCCATTTCTGTCTTTTCTTTCTCCTCTGTCTTTGTAATGACCTTTTGCATTATTGTTAGTCATCATCTGGTTCATCTGGTTTTTAATCCTTAGTGTTCAGTGCCTCGACCTGTCCTTGAGATGATTTTTAAATTATTACTTAGTTAATTTATCATCTAGAACACAAACTTCATGGGAGTTGCTTTAATGTACCATTGAGTTGTAATAGACTCAGAGCTGACCTTCCAGAGGGTTTTCAAAGGCTTTAAATCACACAGGTGTTTGCCTCCTGCAGAGAAGTTGGTGGTTTCAAACCTCTTGATTTTAGGTTGACAGCACTTCTTACCACTAAGCCACCAGAGCCTGCTCTATGAGAAGAGACAGCCTATTTTATTCACTACTCTGTACAGTGCCTATTCTGTGCCTATCACAATAGCTAGCACATGGTTGTTGTGGTTGTTGTTAGGTGCCATCAAGTCAAGTATGACTCATAGTGACAAAAGGAACAAATGATCTGAACCCTATTCTATCATGTGCCATCCTCACATTTCCTAACACACAAGAGCCCATTGCAGCAGTCACCGTGTCAATGCACCTGGTCAAGGGTCTTCCTCTCCTCCACCAGCCCTCCACCCTTCCCAGCATCATGTCCCTTTCCAAGGAATAGCCACTCTTAGCAACATGCCTAAAGTATGTGAGCAAAGCCTCATCATTCTTTCCTCCAAAGAGCATTCCGGCCTCACCTTCTCCAAGACATATCTGTCTGTTCTCCTGGCACACATAGTACATATTCCAAATGAGTTTGTTGAATTAATAAACCAATATCACTACTAGGAAGTTTCTCTCTGGACTGATAGGAAACGTGCCACATTTCTTGTGTATATGTTAGCCAAAAGGTCACTGGTTGGAACCCACCTGTGGCTCCATGGGAGAAAAGACCTAGCCATCTACTCCTATGAAGAGTCTATCCACTACCAGTGAGCTGATTCCAAGCCGTAGTGATCCTCCATCATGTCTCAAAGGCTTTGAATCTTTATGAGGGAAGACTGCTCATCTTCATCCCAAAGAGCTTCAAATTGCTGATCTCTCAGTTACCAGGGCAACATGTAACACATTTTCCTCTTTCTATGAAGAGGATACAGCCTAGAAGACCCAAGAGCCATTTCCCTATGTGAAGGGCAGTTTACTCTCTCCTAGAGGGTTGCTCTGAGCAGGAATTGATTCCATGGCATACAACAGCAACATCATTGCGGGTAATGCTGTAGTAGTAATGCTCTAAGTGATTTGGTGTCAAGTGGTGAATAATTTAGATGGAAGTGACAATTGAATGAAGCCCTAAAGGACAATCAGGAATGAGGCCTACACAGATCTGGGAGGAGAGAATGGCTGAAAAAGGGTCTGAAGCTTGTGAGGACCAAGCCCAATAGGAAGGCCATGGTGGGGAAACAGCTGGGGTGGGTGAGTGTGGGAGAAGGAATCTGAGGCATGATGGGACAGGTGTGGCAGGGCCTGGAAGCCCAAGGTAAGAGTTTTTAAATGAAGTCAAAGAGTCCTGGAAAGCCACTAAAGAGAGTGAATGAAGACTAGAAACATCCTGATATGACAGCTAGGCAGATAATGAAATGGGATGGGTCACAAAGGTGGACACGAGGGCCATACTGCGAACAAGCAGTGGTCTAAGTGGGACTAGAGCGCTAGAAGCAGAAATGAGAGCAGTGCTTGGGTTTGGCATAGGTTTTGGGGGTGATAAGGACTTGCTGATACGCTGCAGGCTGGAGAAGTGGGTGAGAGACAGAAGAATCCACAGGGACTCTAGGTCCTGGGGTCTGAGCAACAGGTGATGTCACTGAGATGGTGACACTGATGCTGGGAAAGGGGCAGGTGGAACAAACCCAAAATGCTACTTTGGCCATGATCTAGACACTCAGGAAAAAATGTCAAGGAGATTGGGAGTCAAGGACAGAGAATTTAGACTTGGAGATGTAAATATGAGAAAAATAGAGTTACAGGCGGAAGATGTTATGTAGAGGGAAAGTGGACAGAGAAGTGAGAAAATGTGGGGACAATCCCTTGGGCCTCCTCACATTTATAAGTGGAGCCGGAGTGAGTGAGAAGTCAGCAGAGTAGACAGGGAGAGAGGTAAGTGAGATGGCAAGAATCTAGAGAAGAAAGCATTTCCAGAAGGCTGGCGTGGTCATCTGTGATAAGCACTGCTGAAGGATCAATTCAGACAAGGGCAAAGACTTGGCCATGGTCTTGGCAAGAGCAGCTTGGAGAATGGCTGGCAGAGCCAGATTAGAATGAGTTCCAGAGAAAATGCAAGAGAAGTAAAGACCAAGGATAGCCAACTTCTTCTCTATCATGGGATTTTGCTGTAGAGGGGAGCTGAGAACTAGATTGGCAGCTGGAGGAGTTTGTAAAGTCAACACAAGTATTTTCAAATAGAAGGGAGCTAATATAGTATATTTATTTGTTGATGGAAGGCATCTGATAGAGAAGATAAAACTCATAGGGCTGGAGGAGTGTTCAAGAGCAGCCCCTTTGATCTGGTGGAAGGGCTGGGCTTTGGTTTCTGTGGCCTGAGCTGACCGACGGAGACCTGTCACAGTCTGTCACAGGAGAGAAGGCAAACCAGAAGGGAACAGATGGCAGCAGGGGTTTGGATTTGCTGAATAGATGAGTCAGAACTGTTTGCTACGTGCTGGTTGTCTACATACATGGGTGGAGGAGGCAGACGTGGTCCTGCCCTCATGAAGCATGCATTTTAATAGGCAAATAACAGGTGTAAACAAGACCACTGCAGGCTGTGTTTAAAGCAACGAAAGAAATAAGCCAAGTGATGTGGCTGAGGACAACTTGGTTAACTTCTTCCTAGAACCCACAGCTCACTGAGCTGAGAGGCAGCTGAGGAATCAATGAGAGGGAAGGCTGGTTGGGCCTGTGGTGGGAAGCTGACTGTGAGATACACGTGAAATCACAGACACATTCTCCAGGGGCTGAGAGAAGGGGCAGTGTGGGGAGCTTTGGAGAATGGGTGGCAGAGAAGATCATGGGGATAAACTAGTCAGCCAGAGGCCCCCTGACTCCCTATGCCCTGTTCCCAGGAGATGCTGGACAGCAGAGAGATGGGGGAGCTGAACCACATGCAGCAGTCCACAGTGGCCTTAGGGCCCCAGAACTTTGGGAACCCCTGGCAGGGCTTCATGAAATGCTTGCTGGAGGTGGAGGAGGAGGAAGAGGCTATGCTTCAGAGGACAACCAAGGCCCGAGCCACAACGGCCCGGAAGTCACCCAGGCCTCTGACTTCCATGACAACCTTGGGCCCTATCAGCAATCCAACTGCAAGCCCACCTCTGGCCATGGTTCAGACCCCAGCTGCATCTCCTCCTGTAGCCCTGTCCTGGGCCCGGCCGCCTGCGCCTGGGCCAGTGTCTATGCCTACAGCAGGGATGGCAGTCTCTGCTTCAGGGCTGACGGGCCCCACCCTGGACCTGGCCTGGAGAAGGCCTGTTCACTTGCCAGAGACCTGTGAGAGGAGCCCAAGCTATGCCAGTGCACGGTAGGAGACCCACCAGCTCACCCCCCACCCTGGTAGGTCCACTGCCCCCTATGTCTCTCACTCTGCTCCCCAGCACTGGACCAGTCCCTCCCCTCCACATGCCATCTCCTCACCCCATCCATCCTTCTTCTCTGACCTTGGCCTCTCTCTCCAGGCCAGTGCCCCTCTTTCCCTCCACCTCCCCTCTCTCTCCTCTGCTCTGTCTCTCCTGTGGGCCTCCCTTTTTCAAGTCACTCTGGGACTCCTCTGACCTCCTCAAGCCTCTCCGGGGCTGGCCCCATGATGGCCTCTACTTCAGCTGCCTCTCCACATCTCTAGCTTTGGTGACCTCCTGGGGCAAGGGTGGGGGCTGGATGTGTGCCCTGGGCCTGGCTCTGTCCTCCACAGGCCGATTCCAGAGGAGCACAGCCTTCTGAGCTTGTATCAGAATTGGGAGGATAAGTCCAAGGAGCACCTCACCCAGAAGCAAGAAGAAGGTGAGGGCAGGCCTGGACCACGCAGAGTCCCCTGGGCTTGGTCAGGGCGTGGCAGAAGGAAATGGGACTGGTTACACTGCCCCCAGTAAGGTTCAGTACAGCCTTGGGAAATGGACTCAAGAATTACCTGCTTGTGGCCAAGAGGTTCCTGGGGCTTAGTGGGAGAGCCAGCTACACTCTGAGCCCTCTGACCCTGACCTGCGCTCCTTCTGCTGCAAGAGCTGTCTGTCTCTGAGTGAGTGAAGCCCAGCCCTGCCAGAAGGTTTAGGTTTGGGGCACATTCCTGCCTCTTTTAACCCAATATGTTTCATTGGGCCCCTTCTGAAGTAGAGTGGATGGGAGGTAAGCTCCACTCATCCTGGATGCTCCCTCATCACTCAATAAGGAAGCTTGTCTGGAAGTTCCTCATTTCTCATGTAGCACACCCCTCTCCCCCAGTTACACAGTTCTACATACTCACACTTTGCACAGTGGGAGTCTATGTGTTCTCTGTGGTCTATGGTGGCTGGCTTCCTGACCCCCCGCCCCCCCCAGCCCCATGCACCCTGTCTGGAGGGAAGAGCTGTCCCACCGCTGTCCATGGGATCTGGGGTTGCTGATTCTCTATCTGTCCACACTGCTACCCTGGTCACATCTTGTGCTGCCCGTACAAGAGTGAGGGTGTACCATCTTTCTAATCCTTTGCTCCTTCCAAAACTACGTTACCCTCTTGGCCAGAATGACTCTTCTCCCGCCTTCCTTGAGTGCTTTCTCTGCTCTCTAAGATCCTTAAAATTCATTCCTCTCAACCTTTGTTGTGCATGTGTCAGGGTGTGTGGGGAGCAATGAACTCCCCGAGTCATGGGGACAGTTAGCATAGTGTGCTGCTAACCCAGAGTGCTTTGGAAGAAAGGCCTGGAGATTTTCTGAAAAAATCAAGGGAGCTCTGGTGGCCTACTGGCAAGAAGCTGCACTGTATGTGGTTCGAATCCACCAGATGCTCTGCTGGAGAAGGAGGGACAATCTCCTCCTGTACCAGTCAGATCCGATTTGATGGTACACACACACACACACACACACACACACACACACACACACACATATAAAAAATTTAAAACATCAGCCACAGAAAACCCTTTGGGGCTCTACTTCTCTGACACTTGAGAGGGTGCCCTGAGTTAGAATAGGCTCAACAATAACCAGTGTCGCCTAGTCTGGCCAAAACCCCTACTGCCCTGCCTCCAATCACAGAGTCCAAGAACAGGCCAATTTGATGTGGAGACTCCAGGTTTCCACCATGACCGTCAGTTCCACTCTGGGAGGAAAGAGTTGTTACCCTGCTTCAATAGGAGGTACAAACCACCATGAATTTCAGAGGAACACATCTGCTTTTTTCAGGGTGTTCCATTTTCTCTCTTTTTTGGCATGCCTGTCTACCCAACTCAGATCCTAGCCCTGCCTCTTCTTCCTGTTTCAGCTCAGTTTGTTAATACTATGTATTAATGTGCCTGACACTAAATTCATACAACTCTCTGAACCTATAACCAAAATGTTCATCTTCTTGTTAGTTGCTGTCAAGTTGTCTTCAAGTCGTTCATAGTGACCCTGTGTACAGCAGAGCAAAGCACAGCCTGATTCTGCTCCATTCTTAAATCTCTGCTATGTCTGACCCCTTGTTGCAGTTACGAGGTCAGGCTATCTTGTTGAGGGTTTCCCTCTTATTTGCTGATTCTTGCTTTATCAACCACAATGTCCCTCTGCGGGGACTGGTCCTTCCTGATAATGTGCCCACAGAGTGTGAGATGAAGTCTCACCTTGCTTCTAAGTAGCATTCTGGCCACACTGCTTCCAAGACACTTCTTTTTTTCTTAAATATTCTTGGCCAACACCACAAATCGAAGCCATCAGCTCTTTTCAGTCTCCTTAATTCACTGTCCAGTTTTCACATGCATTTGAAACGGTTTAAAATATCATGGCTTGAAGACGCTAATGATTTGTACTACCTGGTGACTTTATGTTCATTCACAACTCACCAAAGTGATAATAAAACAAAACCAACAAGTACAGATAAATAAATACGCCATGGCTTGTGTCAAGGTCACCCTCATCCTCAAAGAGGCATCTTCACTTTTCAACATTTTAAACAGATCCTTTGCAGCAGATTTATCCAATGGAATTCATAATTTCTGTTTGGTTTTTGTGACAAAAGTTTCTTTTTAGAATTAGCCAGCTGGACTCAGTTTAGATGATCCCAATTTGTTGGCAACATCCAAAGCATCATAGTTAGGATCAAGTTGGACATAGACCTTCTTCTCCATCAGGCTTAATCAAGGTGTTGACCTTGGCCACTTCAAGGTCATAGATCTTATTTACAGCTTATTTGATTTGGTGCTTGTTGGCCTTGACATCCACAATGAACACAAGTGTGTTGTTATCTTCTATCATCTTCATGGCTGGCTCAGTGGTCAGGGGAAACTTGATGATGGCATAGTGGTCAAGCTTGTTTCTCCTGGGGGCACTCTCCCAGTGTTTGGGCTGCCTTCAGAGTCTCAGGATCTTAGGTTGTCCAAGGGTGGGTGACATGAGGATCTCCTTTTGTATGTGTGTGGCTTGGATGTCCTTTAGGACTGCTTTCTTGGCCTTTAACCCCTTGGCTTTGGCTTCAGTTTTGGGAGAGATAGGAGTTTCCTTCTTCATTTTCAGCACCATCTTTGCAGAAAGGTGGAATTAATAATTTTTTTAAGTGATGCTTCATTTTATTTGTATTTTTTTATTGTTGTTGTGTGCCATCAAGTCAGATTTGACGGGCACCGGAGGAGATTGGCCCTCTTTCTCCAAAAGAGCATCTGGTAGATTTGAACAGCATGCCTTCGGGATTGCAGCGCAGCTTCTTGCCACTAGGCCACCAGAGCTCACTTGAATACAATTCTTTTTTTCTTTCTTTTTTTTTTAAAAAAAAATTCTGATTTATTTACAAAGTTTGAATACATTGTTTTGCTGAGTGAAATAACTCAGTCTCACAAGGACAAATATTGTATAAAACCATTATTGTAGAATAAGTATGAGGATCCAAGGTGGGAAGGGGGAGTGGTGGTGGAAATAGAGGGGTGAGAGTGGGTCGGGGGTTAGGGTGTTGAAGGATCTTTTGTAAGTACGTAATTTCTTGACTGCTTCTTCTATGGGTGTTCATTGTGGATCCAGGTGAAAGGAAATCTTTGACAATTTTAATTTCCTTTCTATTTATTGTGATGTTGCTCATTGCTCCAATTGTGAGGATGTTATGGTTTCTTAAGTTTGAGATAGAATTTATATTGAATACATAGTCTTTGAACTTCATCAGTAAGTGCTTAAAGCCTTTTTTATTTTAATAGGCAAGGTTGTATCATCTGTACAAGTTGTTGTTTTTATGTGCCGCCGAGTCACCTGCAACTCATAGCAACCCTATGTACATCGGTCCTAAACCCTGCTCTATCCTATGCTAATCTCACTGTCTTCGACACACCTACCCAGATTACCCCAGCCACTGAATCAATCCACCTCATAGAGGGTCTTCCTCTCCTGCACTGTACAAAGTACCTTGTTATTGAGTTTTTCTCCAATTCTGATGCCACATTCTTCTTCATCTAATCCAGCTTCTAAGAATTGGCAAAAAAAAACACAAGGCTCCAGGAGTTGACGGCATACCAATTGACATATTTCAACAAACTGATGCTGCCCTGAATGTGTTCTCTAAGTTGTGCCAAGAAATCTGGAGGACAGCCAGCTGGCCGACTGACTGGAAAAGATCGATATTTGTTCCCATTCCAAAGAAAGGTGACCCAACAGAGTGTGGAAATTATCGAACAATATTATTAATATCACATGCAAGCAAG